CCGGCCGCCATCTTGGCTGGCAGTTAATTTGCATATCGCCCTGATTAGCCAATGGGAAGGGTAGCGGATGTACGGCTAATTACCATGTTTCTCTTTTATTAGATAGGATACTAGAGGCCTGTTGCACGAAAAGATTCATGCAATAGGTCTTCCCTTCCCCTGGCTGCCGGCACCGGTTTTCCACCGGCACCTAGCACCCAGGCCTTCGAAGAGAACTTCCTGAGCCCCTGGGGACCTTCCAATCCCTGCTGCCAGGTCCTTGGGCTGGCGGGCCTCAGCCTTCAGGGCCCCTATCCACTCAATCCCCTTTTCCTCCTCTCTGAACTGGCTTGACTCCAAGCCCTTCTAGTGGGGTGTAAACTAATATTTACCAGCCAGGCCAGCTAAGTTTTTTGTGTTTTTTTTTTGCATTATACAACTTTATTTTTAAAAATCTTGTTAATGTACAGGCATTGGCACATTTTAAAAACCACTACATAAACAGCCCTCTCCTATAATCCAGGAAAGTGGAATGTCAGGAGTCAGCAAACGTGGTGAACTTAAAGTGCTAGAACAAAGGCACTTCACAAACTCTTCACGGGAAGTGACCGTAGCCTTTCGGACACCTTCACTCCATACGTGGCAGTGACTGTCTGTCAGGATTGGAGCGCAGAAATACAGACAGTTTTGTGGCAGTAAAAGCGGAACACAAATAAGTGATGAGTCCTTGGCCATTTTGGTTTTTGATGACCTTAACCTACTTTTAACTTTCCTTTCACATGAGTAAAAACAGGAGTTAGAATTGGAAGGGAAGTTGAAGTTCCAGAATGCAGTCACTGTAGGGGCTTCGGAGCCCTTTGTCTTCACAGTTGACGTTTTGTGAAGTCAGAGAGCAAGTATTAGGGAAGAAGACGTCAGAATCAGCGACCTAAACAGGTGTTACGTTCGTTATAAATACTCAGGTTATTAGCAAGTCTACAAGGTTTCAGTTAGAGGTAGATACTGTCCCAGGTGTCCAAGGAGTCTAATAATTTAGTATCTGGACATCAAACAGGTCACACACTCCTTCACTGTCATCTAAGTTAAAGTGAAGTAATGCTTCGCTGCTCTGGCCGGAGCCACGTATGCAAATTAACCGCCATCTTTGTTGGCAGTTAATTTGCATACCTCGCTGATTAGCCAATGGGAGGCATAGCGAAGGTACGGTCAATTACCCTGTTCGTCTATTATTAGATTAGACTAGAAGTCCGTTGCACGAAGATTCGCGTAATAGGCCTTCCTTTCCCTGGCTGCTGGCACTGGTCTTCCTCTGGCATCCGGGACCCAGGCCTTTGGTCCGGCCACAGTGGAGAAGCCAAGCCTCTTCAGTCTTCAGTCTTCACTCTGCGCCTGTGTATGCAAATTAACCACCATCTTTGTTGGGTTAATTTGCATAGTTTCTCTGATTGGCAGAGTGAAACCAATTTGCATGTTTCTCTTTTATTAGTGTAGATAGATAGTTATAGAGATTCAGTCTTTACACCTGAAATAGTATGGGAGACAGTGCAATGAAGAAAGAGCCCAGATTCTACAATCACCAGCCAGGGTTTGAATCTCAGCCCTATCATTGACTATCTGCAGGCAAACTTGGTCAAGTTACTTAAATTCCCACTTTCATCAGTACCTTGCCGAGTTGTCGGGAGGATAATATATAATAAAGTGAAAGCGCCTTCGTGTAGAGGTCCCTGGCTTTCCTCTTTCCCCGTCACCCCTCTCCATTTACCCTTTCTGGGAGTCCTTTCCTGTGGGTGGAAAAGACACCCTGATTTTGAGGGGATGTAACTGCTCTGGGCTTGAATTCAACTTAGTTTTGGAAAGGTTTTCTCAGTATAACTCTACCTCCTCTTTCTCAAGCATAAAGGGTGGAGTACATTTCTTCGAATGGTTCTTCTGGCCAGTTCCCGAAGTGAGTCGGGGTTTAGTGGGGCCAAAGGGAGCGCTGGGAAGCCGCAGCGGAAGTGCTTTTTATTCCTGAAGGAGGCCAGCTGGCCGTCCCGCCTGGAACCAGGGACTTGGCCCTGGTCCCCGCCTTGTTTTCCAGAGCTAAGTGGTGATTGGGAACACAGAAGAAAAATTGCTTGCTTTCTGAGTCAACTCGCTGTGAGTGTGTCTGAACAGCAGGGCTTGTTTCCCCAGCCAGCTCCGCCACGCTGGGGCCTGCCTCGGAGGGAAGCACACTCAGAAGTGGGGCAGAAAGGGAGGGGCCCGCTCGGTTGTGAAGGGCTGTTGACAGCACAGCTGAAATGTGTTTCTATTTTAAATAAAATCAACTTTACAAAAGTGCCATGCCCTCTGAAAATAGCTCTGTTTGTTTGGATGGGGATGAACTGCCTGCTATCATCTCAGAGCTCGCCTTGCCCAAGTGAGAATTCTCACTTGAGAAACAGGTTATCTTTATGTTGTTTCCGTGGAGACATTGGGGGGATCGGTCAGGAGGTAGCAAGGCGCCACCGAGGAACCTTTTGGTCCTTATTCTGCATTCATGTACCTCTTCTGCTCCTGCAGCTCAGTGGGGAGGGCTGTGGCGCAGGGATGTTGGATTCCATGTTTAAAACATTCGCTGCCTGCCAATGTCTGTTTTTCTTCTCTGGTTGTGTATTTAAAAACAAACGCATCTTCAAGTGTAATGAAAAACTAAAATGTTCCATTACTATCCTTACTGACATGAAGTGATGTCCTCTGTCTCCATACAACTAATTTTACAGGATTAACTTTGAAATCCCCTCAAAGGCGCTATTATGGAATGGAAGCTCCTGCACCCTGACATGGCTCTGAGCACCAGCAGGGAGGTTAGGAACCAGGCCACCTCAGGCGCAGGGTGCGCGTGTCCCCGTCCCCGGGTGCAGCAGGCCCCCAGGGTGACTCTGGTCCGAAGTGGCTGAGTGGAAATCGTTCCTCTTGTGTGCTGCCTGAGTTATAGATCTGCCCCCTCTCTCTGTAGGGAAGGGCTCAGACGAGTCCAAGAAAAGAACCGACGGTTACCAGTGCCGTGGGAACTCTGCTGCAGAACAGGGCCCTTGAGGCCACGAGAGCAGCCCCAGCCAGGCCAGGTAAGTCAGAGTGAGCGTCTCAACCACCGCATGCCAGCGTCATAGAGGCGACCACCGTGGCCTTTGGGATTCGTGGGCTGCTGGCCAAAGCTGTGATATCCAGTGTTGCTTTTGTATATAAAGACACATGGGTTTGTTTGAGGAAAAAGCTTATTTGCTGAGAGGGCACAATTCCTAATTTGTCAGGTTTAGATAACTCTGACAACATATAGAGTCAGATCCGATTACAGCAGCAGGGTCTAGAGCCATCGTTCCCCGGCTATTCAAATTGAAAGGAGATGAAGAATGGGAGATAACAGCTTATCAGATGTGATGAAAAGAAGAGAAAACAATCTCAGAGAGAGATCTGTACTCCCATGTTCATTACAGATTTTTCAAATAGCCGAGATACAGAAACAACCTATTGAGGAATGAATAGATAAAGATAAGGTGCATAATATACACAACAAAGTACTATTCAGCCATAGAAAAGGAGGAGGTCCTGCCATCTGGGACAACATGGGTGGGCATTGAGGACATTATGCTAAGTCAAACTCATAAACACAGAGAACCGCATGATGGTTGCCAGGGGTGGGGTGGGGTGGGAGAATGGGGAGATGTTGATCGAAGGATATAGTATTTCCAGTTATAAGATGAATATAGTGACCATGTACTAGAGTTAACAATACTGTGTCACTTACCTGAAAGTTGCCAAGAGAGCAAATCTTAAATGTTCTCACCACCACGCACATAGAAGTTAACTATGTGAGGTGATGGATGTTAACTAACTTCATTGTGGTAATCAATTCACAATATATTCATAATCAAATCATCACATTGTACACCATAAACTTATACAATATCATACTCAGTTACAGCTCAAGAAAGCTGGAAAAAAAAGAAAAGAAAAAGGGAAGCGTTTCCTTTCTAGAACAAAATAATGTCTTCAAAGTAACAGAATGGCATAACCACCATTGCAGTACTTACTTATATGCTAGACCCATTTCATTTAATCCTCACAATAGTCCTCCAAGTGTTTTCATTATGGAAAGGGAAACTGGAGCTGGGAGGGCAGGTTACTTGTTTAAGCGCTCAACTGGTAAGCAGCTGAGCTGGGTTAAATCTCTCTCTCCTGTGGTCTCCCTCTTCTTTGAGCTGCATTAATAAATGTGGCATTCTTCTTTATTAATGATCAGCATGCACTATGAAGGCAAGATGAATTAATTCATGGCTATATGGCACCTCTGGCCAGGAGTCTAATTTTGTAGGTATTAATAAGAACCAGAGTCAGAATTGCCAGTCTCATGGTTCACAAACAGCACAGAAAAGTTTATTATTAGTTTTTAAATTCCTCATGAGTTGCTTACCATGGGCTAAAAATTGAATGAATATTTGAAAATTTCCCCATAGCCCTGTAAACCCAAGTCAGTAGTTTTTTCCTGATCTGTGAAAGTTTAATAATGTGTTAGATTTTGGTATTCACACACACACACACACACACACACTCACACTCGCATACACATCAAATTATGTATGTATTCGTTGGTAAAACTTTCACTAATAAGCTTTTTATTTAAAGTATAATGATTAATGTCCTTTAGAAAAGGCAGTTTCTTTATATTATGGATGATTTTCTTATTTTTTCCAAGAATATGTTATAATGTTCCCTTTCCAATAAAAAGCACTCCTTTGAGTTTGAGGTCAAACCTTATTTGCCAAGAGGGAATATTTCTTAATTCATCAGGATTAGGGAACTCTGACAACATGCAAAGTCGAGTCCAAGTACAGCAACAGAGTCTCGGGCCTCTATTCCCTGGTCTAGTAAACTTGGAAAGAGATTTGGAAATGGGAGAGGACAGCATGTCAGGTGCAGTGTTGAAAATCAGAAAAGAGTTTCCTTGCTTGAACTAAGTAATTTTTAAAAAATCAGCAGAAGGCCTAAGTGAGAACTCAGAAGTCCTGTGTCTCAGTACAGTAAGAAGCACATTATAAAGACACCATTCTGCTACATTAGGAAATAGATTAGTAGGCCAGTAGATCTAAGCAAAATGGAATTATATTTGCTTTTGACTAGGTCAGCGGTTCTCAACCTGTGGGTCACCACCCCTTTGGGGGTCAAACGACCCTTTTACAGGGGTCGCCTAAGACCATCAGGAAAACACATATATAATTACATATTGTTTTTGTGATTAGTCACTATGCTTTAACTATGTTCAATTTGTAACAATGAAAATACATCCTGCATATCAGATATTTACATTACGTTTCATAACAGTAGCAAAATTACAGTAATGAAGTAGCAACGAAAATAATTTTATGGTTGGGGGTCACCACAACATGAGGAACTGTATTAAAGGGTCGCGGCATTAGGAAGGTTGAGAACCACTGGACTAGGTAATGGTGGTTTATCACCACTGTGATGTTGCTAAGGAAAAGGTGAAGTTTTTAACATGGCCCACACTGAGTTCTATACCACCACCTGCCCTCACCATCACTCTGTCCTGTGGACCCAGCCCCTGTGGCTTCTGTGGTGTCCCTTGAGCACCACAGGCCTGCACATTCCTGGTCCAGGCCTTTGCACTGGCCGCTCCCCCTGCTGAAAACCCAAACCCTCCCTCACTAATCTGCACTGCTCACCTCTCCCTCCCTCCAGTGTTTTGCGGAGTGTCATCTCACATGAGGCCCCCCAACCTCTACACTTAAAATTAATTTCTCCACAATTTCCTCTGTAGTTTTTTAAAACAGCATTTGTCACCATCCAATATTCAATGTATATGTGTTTGTCTCTTCCCACCCCCATCCCTCCAAAAAGGAATATAAGTTTTAAGAAGGCAGGGATCGGTCTATTTTTATTGAACTGCTACATCTCTACCTGTTAGAATTGTTCATGGCATATGTGCGGTGCTCAACAAATACTTTTTGAGTGAAATGTATGGTAAAAAGTAGGTATCTTGATTCTGTAATGTCCCTCTTAAGTTATTGGCCTATGCATGTAATTGTCAGGTTAATTAGCTTTAAGAGAAAGCATTTTTATTTATTTCAGGCTTACAATGCATTTCTTACCCCCGCCCCAAGATTTTGACAATTTTTATTGAAAATAACCCTGAGGAATACATATGAGAATGATTGGATCAGGGCAAATTTGTTGATATGAGTGCACTGACCAGAGATTGTGTATTCAGTGTTTTAGCTTGAACAACTGGGAATGGCTTGAACAGTTTGCAATGATGGTTGATTTTTTTACCTGTGCCCAAGACAGGTGGACTTAAGACGCCTTTTCAATTTAAATTTTTTTTCCCCCCGTGGCCTCGCATGCATTCAGAGCTATGTTGGAAAGGAAGCAGAAGTATATTGACGGGTAGAGTGGGGTGGGGTGAATTTGCAAAAATGTTTAAGGCTTGGAGAAAAGCACTGAGTGCCTTTGCTGATGTCAACAGACCAGTGTGTGAATCAGATTCACATCTGCTATCCATTGTATTTGTTCTGGTCAGTATTAATCTATTTGTAATATGGGGGGACTTTTAAAAATTGTTGTTGTTGAGCTTTGCTATATCTAGATTGCCAATCAGTCGTTTAGGCCACTTGTTGTCACTTGCCTTCCACATAAATCCTTTTACTGTCTTTTCATTTAGCTGATAGTTAACCCCTTAAAACTTTGGTTTTCATTCTTCAACTCTCTTGAGTAAAATATGTATTTGGTATCTCCCATGTATAGCTTTTTGTTCTAAATTCACAGTCAGGGGAGATATGTGTGTGGAAGTCATAATCCTTATCCATCCTAGAGTCTTATGAGAAGATAAGCATGTGCAGGAGAATCTAATACAAAGGAGCATGTGATGTTATATGAAGTTGGTACACATGCCGGGGATGTTTAAGAAGATTCATTCAACACATAATTAGTATGCATGGTTGTTTCTTGCGTCTGTGGGTTCTTAAAAGTCTAGGGGGGTAGCAGTCAATATTTAACAGTGGGGTGTAAACTAATATTTAGCAATGGGATGCAAAGCTCCTGAGGGAATACAAGAAGGAGATCAGCTTTGCCTAGGAGGCTTTATGGAGGAGGCTACCTCTGAGAGAGGAAGCCCGTGGAGGTGGAGGCCTTAAGATGAGCTTTCAAGGTGAGCTAGATTTTTACTAGTGGAGAAAAGTTGCAAAGAGATTGAACAAAGAGATGAAAATGAGAATGCAGACGACAAACTGTGGAAACAAGTGGTCCATCAAAGCATAGAGCCGAGTAGAGTGTGAATAGAAATTAAAGCTGGGGTGGGAGGCTGGCCCTAGAGCAGGGAAGGCCGTAATTGCTGGGGCAGGTGCCCAGGCTGTGTGTGACCCAGGCTGCCACTGTAAGTTAGGCAAGTCGGGTGACCTAGGAACTTTTCATTTCTAGCCACTTTAAGTAAGCCTGCAAAAATTTCTTTTGAGAAAGAGCATTTTCAAAAATTATCATGTCAGATATTAATGTTTACTGTAAAAAATATTAGAAAATGGAGAAAAAGTATGAAGAAAAAAATCATCCAAAATTGCACACCCTGACATGACTGACCATTGTTAACATTCATAAGTTTTTCAATTTTTTTTCTTTTTTTCCTGTTTTCCTTTTATCAAAATTAGGATCATAGTCCATGTATATACATCTGATTTTTTTTTCACTAACAAATTTTGAACATTTCCCTATGGCAAAAGAATTTCTTTTCTTTCTTTTTAAGATTTTAAATTTATTTGATTTGCATGTGACAGAGATTCAGCTAAACTTTGTTCATTTGGCTAGCACTATGCTTTTTGTACCTGTAACACTTAAATTCTGATATACAAAATTATAGTAACATATTGATAATTCAAACTTGAGAGCTAAATAGTACATACTTTTTACCCTGTGCAGAATAAATTCTACCTTTAAAAAATAGCATTTATAATATTAAAATTCATATTGTCCATATGGTTTTGTGATCAAGTTACTAAAATGTTTTGTCACTGTGAATCATTTGGGTTAGTACAAATATGACAGGATTGTTAAAGGCTGCCTATAAATACATAACACTAAGGCTGATTTTTAAAGTGTGGAAAAGGATTATATTAAAATAAGTTTATCTCTCATGTAGGAAATGAGCAAATTTTGTAAAATAAAACTGAAAACTTCTTGGTCACAACTGTTAACTACCAGCCTGAGACATATTTTATTCTTTTATACTTGTCTGAAACTTTTTGTATCACAAAAAATTAACAACTAATCTGAAGAAGATTTATAAAGCTGTAAATATTCCAATATCCTCTTCTATGTCAAACATTTAAAATGGCCAGAAGTGAACTATATATTAAACAGAACATAAATAAGACCTTAAATAAATAAATGAAGAAAAGACTGCCTTTAAAAACATAGTATCACATCACAATTATACTATGTAATTTATTTAGCTGTTTTCCTGGTGGTGAGCAGGTCAATTGTGTCTACTTTTTTGCTATACTAAATAACTCCCTTCTTCATGGACAATAGTCCACACTTAATTCTACCCTCTTCTAAGCACTTCATATATTTATCCTCATTTAATCCTCACAAGGGGATAAATGTACTTTTCATATCCCTAGTTTATAGATGAGAGAGGTAAAGCAATTTGCACAAGTAATTTAATAGGAAATGATAGAGCCAACCAAATCTTTGTCGGCTTTGGGAAAACTAGGTCAAAAATATATAGACACGAAGGAGATAGTAAAATATATATATTATATATTGTATATATATGATGTGTATATTATGTAAATATATGTATAATTGTTTTAGAAAAAGGTCTGGCTCTCCCTTTATTCCCACAAAGAGTCTAAACTTCAGATGGGAAATGCGTTTATAGCCTAGTCAGCAAATATCGACTGGTGGCTGTTTTCTCAAGGGTTTTGGTATAAGAGCGACTGATTGGCTGGAAGGCACCTCTGAGGATCAGCTTCTCCAGCACCTTAATACAGAGAGTCTGAGACCACTATGAAGTGTAGTTCTGGGTCCCAGAGCTGTGCTGCTTCATTTTTTAGTGAATTGCATTTTATAACGTTGCTGGGTGGGCTCTGCTTTATTTCTGGAACCAGTGGGTTTGATGGAGTCAAGCATCTTCCCTGCACCAGTACCCCCTCCTTAAGTAGCTTCATTGTTTGGCAAATGCAGTGAGTATCAGAGGGTCCATGCAGATCCATTGGAAGGAATAAAACTTGTAGATCTTTGGGTAAAATGAACACTACAGCTCTTTCTATTCCTACGTCTTCCTAGTCCTTTGGTAGCTTGATTCATAGTTTCCTTGGGTTGTTTGGTTACTCCCCCTTCATAAAACACTCCAGGCCTTTAGGACAGAGGGGACTTATTCCGTTTTACAAAAAATGATTTCTCTGAGAATCCTGCCCCATACCATGTGGTCTAAGACAGACTATGGTATGCCTGTAACCATAAACTCCTACCTCTCCATACCTAACAGCTGCTTGACGCAAAGGAAAAGAATCCTGTTTGTGAAGCAAGTCCATTGCTATGTAAAAAACCAGGGTTGGGGGAGGCACCTCATGCTTCCATAAGGCTAGCATGAGAGCAGGTAAAGAATTGTGAGGGTATGGATTGCTCAGGGTACATTCTGAGACTCGGAGCAGTGGTGTGGAGAGGTGTGGAGAGTCAGGGTGTATAAATGGGGAGCCCCCTGAGGTGGCAGTCCAAAGGGCCCATCCATGGGTAAGTGGAGGGCCAGGGGAGAGAGAGAAGGCTCCTGGGACAGTCCCTGGTTTCCCTTATTATTTGGCCCAGGATAGAGACTATTTGTCTATAGCTACAGAACAAAACAGAACGGAATAGAGACTTTGATCCAATGGGAGGATTTCACAATCATTCCTTTTTTTTTCTTTCTTTCTTGCTGTTGGCTTTTACATAATAACAAATCTGTTTATGTCTGTAAAGGATTAGCCTCGGACCCTGCTTCTGGAGCAAAACTCAAACAAGGATTTACTAAATCTTCTAAAAAAGATTAACTCCTAGAGGCCAGGTAAGAAAAACAAACACACTCTAATCCAGGTGCTGGTGGTCATCTAATGTGCAAGGTACAGGGAATGAATGAGCCTTTAAGGGAAGAACCCTCTAGCAGGCAAACCCAAGAGAAATATGGGCTAGGCTATGTTAATGAAATATGCTCTGGAACAGCGGTTCTCAACCTGTGGGTCGCGACCCCTTTGGGGGTCTAACGACCCTTTCACAGGGGTTGCTTAAGACCATCGGAAAACACATATATAATTACATATTGTTTACAGTAGCAAAATTACAGTTATGAAGTAGCAACGTAAATAATTTTATGGTTGGAGGTCACCACAACATGAGGAACTGTATTAAAGAGTCGCGGCATTAGGAAGGTTGAGAACCACTGCTCTAGAAACTTTTTCGTTAAACCCTGAGTTGGAAAATGACACTCCATTTGATTGTGGACTTAACAGGAAAGGGGAATGGGTTCTTCATTTTGACCTGGAAGGCTATTGCCCGGTCCCGCTTTCTAAACACATTGCCCCCCGCCAAAACACAGTTCCTGAGATTGACATGGAGTAGAATTGGTATGAAGTTGGGGACATTTTTTATCTTGTGAATTGTTTGTTTAAGACATTTAAACATGTAGAGAAGTTTATATTAAGTATTTAACATTCTCAGTGTGACAACAACCAAGTTCTAGTAAATCCTTTTCTTTCTGCTTTCAGACTGGCTTCCTACAGCTCATCAGCCTGGATGGCTGTGAGCCCAACAATGCCACCTGAAAGGAAGGAGCAGATGTCTGCTTCAATGCCTGATTCCTCTCGAGACATCATGCAGGACATGTAAAACTAGCTTCAAATTTTCTTATTTCTTCCCTTCAAAATATTCAAAACCAAATCATTAAACAAGGCATTCATCTGTATGATAATGCTTGATTTGGAGATTCACTTGAAGCATTTTTTTAATGGGATATTTAATAGTCTTTTTCAAAAACGTTGCTTTGATATTAGAAATGTTTAGTAAAACAGTCTATGGAGTCTAGCATTACTTACTTACTAGGAAAAGCGTTTTTTTACCCAGCTCATTCTACACCAGGGGTCCTCAAACTTTTTAAACAGGGGGCCAGTTCACTGTCCCTCAGACCGCTGGAGGGCCGGACTATAGTTTAAAAAAAAAACTATGAACAAATTCCTTTGCACACTGCACATATCTTATTTTGAAGTAAAAAAACAAAACGGGAACAAATACAATATTTGTATTTGCATGTGGCCCGAGGGCCGTAGTTTGAGGACCCCTGTTCTACACAATAGTCGTGAAATCCCCTCTGTGATATTTTCTTCCGATAAGCATGAAATTATAAAAAGTAACAACTCCTGCTTTAAGTGTCCGTCTGTATACCACGTAGAACTGTCTCCAACACCAGTGCACACAGTTGGTTTTGGGGAAACACCGCAGTGGAACAGGTTACAATAACCTTCCCACCCAGTGGGAAGGATGCTCTATGCAGCCTCAAACCATTTATTTATCTCGGACAAATCAGGCACCAACTTTTCATCTCACCATTGGTTGATAAACTGTGGGAAGGTGGTCTTGCAGCTATTTTTCTTTGTCGCCTTAGGGGTTAACAAATTCTTTTTGTAGAGTCATTTATACTTAATTCATGCTTCTTAATCTAATGATTTTTATGTTTTCTTCAACTCAGGGAATTGTAATTAGGAATTAAAAGCCATTTTCCTGTCTAAATTTAAGTAGAACCCCAAACTACTCGCTCTTGTAATGCAGCAAACACAACATCTGAAATGCTTTGGGTATGTATTTGGGGATCACATCCTAAGTTTATGCTCAGGGAAGTCAGGTGTATGTCCTGGAACTGACTGAAGACTACTAGGCCATGAGTCTGGGAAGGGTGTAGCCCAGGTAAGCCACTCCTCTCTCTCCTTTTTCTGGGAGATTGCTTTCCTCACAGAGATAAGAGGGGCTATGGGAGCTGACTCAGACATCCCAGAACGTGCATTCCCACTGATGAGGTAACCTCATCTCCTGCCCCCAGATTAAGCTGTAGTTTAAGAATCTACCAAATTGGATCCACAGCGACAGCCCCACCCCAGGCAGCTTTCCTGAAATGCCTTGGCCCTTTGCTGTCATGGGCCCCACTGGTAAGGGCTAGGAGCCAAGGTTTCTCCCATTTGGCTGCCAGGCTTCTTTGATGGGCAAAGGAACTCGAGGCGTCCCTTTCTCTGCCAACCCGCCCTCCCACCCCTTATTTAGAGGTAAAACAAACACAAATAAATAAGCGTGTCAGATTTCCGAGTGGAGAATACTTTGTGAAGGAATCCCACTAAGGAATAAATTTCTAGTTCATGCTAGAAAGTAACGGCAAACGCCACTGTAAAAACTGGCCCAGTAGACTGAACTTCAGTAGCTAGTATTCTGACCTATACCAGTATATCAGAAATAAGTTCTAAATATAGAAGGATTCAGAATTTTATATAGTAATTTTTAGAAATAAGTTTTTAGTGTTGTGAATTTAAGTGAAGCATATAATTTTACTCAAAGTTGGTTTCTAGTAGATGCTAGAGGTCAGACTACTAGTTTCTGTGGGGAAAGTAATGGCCAGGAGGGGGCATGAGGGAGCCAGCTACTGAGCTGTTCACGTTTTGTGTCTAGATCAGGATGGTTAGGCGGTGTAGCTGTAAGTAAAAATCAAACAAGCCATCGTCAGAATTTGCAGAGTTTATTATATGTAAGATATATTTTCATATAGAAAGCCTCTAAAGACAACAGACAAAGGAGTTTTAAAAAAAGATTAGGTTTCATATTCTTAAAACTCATTAGATACAAATTTGAGATTACAGTTACAGTTACATTGAAAAATGTTATTCTTTCTGAGTAAAACTAATATTGAATTACATGATAAAATTTAAAATGCATTTATTTATTGGTGATTAAAATATACTTAAGCAGAATAGTACTTTAAGCCAGACAAAGCAAAGAAAAAAAATCTTGTTTAATATATATATATTTTAAATTCCAGTAATATTTCTTAAATTCCTGTTAAAATATAATCAATATTAAAGTCAGCAAAATACTATTTTTGACTGACACTTGGATTATTTTATCACTTAACCTGGTTACACAGTGATTTTTTTTTTCTGTCAGATGTAACTGACAACCAGTTTAGTCTTTAAGATAAATGAAGTGATAACTCACATTGTAGCATCTTGTGGAAAATAGTCAAACTACATTTAAAATGCTTGTTTAAAATGGAAACATCTATTATTCCACAAGAAATTGTTTCTGTAAAACTACAGGTTGGCTATGCAATAGTAGCTACACTACATCCAACTAAAGGTAGAAGAATCCTGGAGAGAAAAAAATACAAAGTCTACTTATAATATGCAATATAAAGGTTACTTTTATAAAGGTATATGTAAAAAGAAAAAAAAAATCTCCCATTTTGGAGAAATCCAAACCTTCCCATAGTTCCCTCCTTAGGCCGTGCTACATAAAGATGACAAACTCGGGTGATGTTATTTAGCTAACATCGTTATGATCATGGCTTACGATTAAACTCAATTTGACAACTATATATAGCAGCCCTCGTCTGGATGTCGGTTATGACAATAGATAGTTGCAGTTCCATTAAAGAATACTTGGTGATTACATTTGGTACAAAGCATGAACAAATCATCAACACTCAGGACAGATTGGCACGATGCATGCAGTTCTAGAACTCTTATTTCAAGCCAGTCGTAACTGAGTAAGCCATATCCCCAATCCTGCTTCCCAAATCTTTCCTTGTATTACAACTGACATTTAAAATGCTTCATAAAACTTTAAAATGCTCCTTAAAACCGTAAAATGCTCCTTAAAACCTCTTCCAGAATAAGAGAAGTATGCTTTATAAGCCACTTATCTGAATGCATGATGGAAATGCGGCAGGATGGCAGTGCCGGTGCCTGCTGGGAAAACATGGGGGAGGGGAGGCAGGTGGAGCTGGCCCAGGCTCATGGCACTCATGGCCAGTGGGGGCTCTTGCTGCTGCTGCCCCAGACAGCTGAGCCTATGGGGCAGAGGCTCCCCTGGCCCCAGGGCGAGGGTGCCATTCCCAAAGGCATTTTGGGTAGGAGGAGGGGGCAGCTGCCAGAAGCCCAACAGGGGGGAAATTTCCAGAGAGGCAGGTATTGTGATGTTCACAGCATCTATGGGGAGCTCTCTGGGCAGGTTTACTTTACCAGGGCTACCCTTAGCCAGATCAAAACCTGGGTTGAGCCTGTGAGGTGACTGAGGCTCTTGCAGAGGCAATTCCTCGAGCAAATTGAAGTTGCAAAACCCTTTAGTATCTGTTTTGAGCGGCAGGTTTGCAAGTGGGGGGTATGAGGTAGCAGTGGTGTACTTGTGGTTCTGGAGGGGCTGAGGGGGAGAGCTGGGAGGTGCCATGGGCGGCAGGGGGATCAGGGGCTCTGGCAGCGGTGGTACAGGCTGGCAGGGTGGCTCTATGGGATTGAGGGTGTGCACCTCAGGTGGCAAGCCACTGGCGAGCCCATTCTGCACAGAGGCTCCTAGAGCGTAAGGAGCCAGAGTGGCAGCCTTCAGCTGAAACTGAGGAGAGAGAGAGTGGAAGGCATTCAGGAAATCTCCAGCCTGCAGACTCTCTTTCATCAGCTCCTGTAAGTGTGTCTTCTTGGTATGGCGTGTGAGGTGGTCTTTGCGCCCAAATCTCTGGGCACAAAACTGGCACAGGAAGTCCTTACAGCCTGTGTGGACCACCATGTGGCGCCGCACATCTTTCCGGGTGTAGAATAATCTCTCACAGTGGTCGCACCGGTGCTTCTTCTGCTTATTTCCGTGGGGCTTGTCGTCGGCGTGGGATTTGAGGTGGATCAGCAGCACCTCTGTGCTCCTGAGCACCAGGGCACACACCCCACAGGTGAGGTCGCCGCTGTTGGCCTTGTGGAGGGCAAGGTGCCTCTTGTAGCCCAGCATGGTGTGGTACTTCTTCCCACACTGCTCACACACAAAGGACACCTTGTTGGGGTCATGGGTTTGGAGGTGGTTCTTCAGGTGGTCTTTGCGGTTGAACGTCTTCTCACATTGAGCACACTGGTGAGACTTCTGGGGTGAGTGGGTAGCCATGTGTCTAGGAGCAGAAGGCAGAATTTCACAATTGACCCAGATTTTTAAGAGCCGAAGAAAGCAGAGAAACAATATTAAAATGGTAACAGTAGTTTTCTCTAGGTGGTGGTTTAAGAAATCGTTTTCAGTTTTAAAGTTCTTTTCTATATTTTCCAGACTCTACACATAAATAAGACTTAATAATAAAAAAACAGGTGCTGCTAGGGACAGAATGCAATTTTCACACCTGTAAGGAATATGATTGGAGTACATATTTTCCTAGTGTATACAAAGAGATTGCTAAATGCAGACAGGTATTTAAAAATATATGATCATGAAAACTATTTTTCAGGACTGGGTTAAATGGTTTTTCTATACACTGAACATTCCTGAATTTCCAAAAGTGACTCAATAGCCCCCCAGTCCCCATTTTAGATTATTGTTTTTAATACAATTCCAGCTCATCTGTATTGATTGAGACAAGTTCAGGACATAAACTAAAAAGTCTATCCTTAACCTCAGAGACAGCATCTAACTGTACCCTGTACCCAGAATGCCAGCCCTAGCAACTGGGCTCTGAACCCCGCTCCTCCCATGCGATCTTCATGCTTACGTCTTCGTCTTCTCTATTTAATACTTTCCTACCAGCTCTCCC